GGTCTGATCTGTTCAAGAACCCATTTGTTTGTCTTATTGGCTGTCCATAGTATCCCAAATACTCTTCTCCAGCACCACATTTGAAATGAGTTGATTTTCTTTCTGTCTGCTTTCTTCACTGTCCAGCTCTCACATCCGTACATGGTAATTGGGAATACAATGGCCTGAACAATTCTGACTTTAGTGCTTAGTTGTATGTCTATGGTCTTCAGTATCTTTTCCAGTTCTTTCATAGCTGCCCTTCCCATTCCTAGTCTTCTTATTTTTTGACTGCAGTCTCCATTCTGGTCAGTGTTTGATCCTAGATATGGGAATTCTTTAACTATTTCAATTTCCTTGTCTAGATTGAATTTGTATATTTCTTCTGTGGTCATTAGCTTGGTAACCGCCTAGATTGGTTCGCCACCAGGCGGTATATAAATATTATTATTATTGTTGTTGTTGTTGTTGTTGTTTTCTTCATGTTCAGCATCAGGCCTGTCTTTGCACTTTCACCTTTGACCTTCCTTATTAACTGTTCCAATTCCTCAATGTCTTCTGCTAATATTAAGGTGTCATCCACATATCTTAGGTGGTTGTTGATGTTCCTTCCTCCTATCTTAACTCATCCTTTTTCTGATTCTAATTCTGCTTTTCTTATGATGTTTTCAGCATATAAATTAAGCAAGTAGGGTGATAGGATGCAGCCTTGCCTGACCCCTTTACCAAATGGGAACCAGCCCTGCATCCAAGCATTTCCAAGTGAAACAGACTCACAACACTAATTGTTAAACTTAGTGAATTCATGATTTAAAAGTAGTCATTTAATTTATTCAGATCAGGTCTATGACTAAACAATGCACAATACAAATACTTTTTTTTAACCAGGACAGAATCATACCAGTCAAAAAAGGTTGCTCCTAAATCAAGGCAAGCTGTTTCTGTGGAAAAAAATACTAGTTTTCTCATGTACTAGTTTCAGAACAAGTTCTTTGTGTTGCTGATTTGGGGCTGATTTGAACTGTGTGTAGCACCAAAGACAGAGTTGAGACCTCTTCCTCATCAGGAGAAAATGAGCTCATGATGATGCACTATCTCTAATTATGTCTTATATGACAAGAAAGTGACCCTACCTATCATAACCAGATTTAACACAGACTGGGTCAAACAACTATGAAAGTGGCGATCAGTCACACTGCAGATTACAGAGATCCATTGTCCACATAGTCTTTCATTCCTGTGCCTTAACCTATGCTAAATCCATCTCTCACGAAAGCAGCATTCATCCTTGGCAGAACAGTTGAAAGGGCATGTGTAAGCAATTTTCAGAGCCCTGCAAAAAGGTTACAGTTAATCTGTCTTAACAGTTAAACTGGCAAGCTGCTGATCCTTAAGTTTCTGGTGGAACTACTCTGGGCTGAACAGCAAACAGGAAAGCAAGCAGCAGCCATGTACTGGGTCAGATCATCAGTCCATCCAACCTAGACTTGTACAGGCTCGCAGATCTTTCTCAATCTGGGCATGGATCTTTCTCAGTCT